AAGACCTGGGAGTGATTATTTTCGGAGGATCTCACCTTCAAGGACCATAACATTGTATCAATCGCATCTGCTAGAAAAATGACAGGATGGATAATGAGAACCTTCAAAACTAGGGAGGCCAAGCCCATGATGACACTCTTCAGGTCACTTGTTTATCTAGGCTGGAATATTGCTGCACTCTAACAGCACCTTTCAAGGCAGGTGAAATTGCCGACCTAGAAAATGTACAGAGAACTTTCACGGCACGCATAACGGAGATAAAACACCTCAATTACGGGGAGCGCTTGAGGTTTCTAAACCTGTATTCCCTGGAACGCAGGAGAGAGAGATACATGATTATATACACCTGGAAAATCCTAGAGGGACTAGTACCGAACTTGCACACGAAAATCACTCACTACGAAAGCAAAAGACTTGGCAAACGATGCAACATCCCCCCAATGAAAAGCAGGGGTGTCACTAGCACGTTAAGAGACCATACAATAAGTGTCAGGGGCCCGAGACTGTTCAACTGCCTCCCAGCACACATAAGGGGGATTACCAACAGACCCCTGGTAGTCTTCAAGCTGGCACTGGACAAGCACCTAAAGTCAGTTCCTGATCAGCCGGGCTGTGGCTCGTACGTTGGTTTGCGTGCAGCCAGCAGCAACAGCCTGGTTGATCAGGCGCTGATCCACCAGGAGGCCTGGTCACAGACCGGGCCGCGGGGGCGTTGACCCCCGAAACTCTCTCCAGGTAAACTCCAGGTAAACATCTTGTTTCTAAATTGTGAATTAGCTGTCAGCAGTATAATAATGTCTTATTCTATAAAAATAATCATAAATTTTATGTATATTATGAATAACAACACTCAATTTAAGAGACAGAAACACAAAATAATGTATAACATCAACATTCATACTGCAGTTTACCATATCCATAGTCTTCGGGCACAAAAATGGCTTCACAAAAACATCCAGAAAGATCAGTTTTATAAACAGTTGTAGTTTTGAGAGGCTCCAGAGGTGGCTGAGATGCAACAAAATATAGAGAGAGATCAGATGTATTTAAGTGTCCAGTGCAATGCCTCCGCCCAGTCTGGGAGTTGTCATGCATTTACAATCTGAACTCCTGAAATGTGTACAAAAACAGGCTCATGTTTAAGTACTTAAAATATTTAAAAAAAATATTGCATATGGTATATTAAAAAAAATCCAATACTGCATCAGAGAATAGAGCAAAAACGTAAGTGCTTACAAAATTAGAATAAGATTTAGAAGGCTCAGGGAAAATGAATGAGTATGGGGCATATGATGATTAGTCGTGTCATCTGGATGGCTCTGATGTGAGAATTACTCAGTCTGTCAGACTAAGCACTCTCAGTCTGTACAACAATTTACTGGATGACTGTGTGGACCAAGTTTCTTCCTTGGTTCCTTCAAGGAATAAAGAGGTACCTTGAAACCAGTAAAAGGGTATTGATGGTACCCTCATCTTACATGTTCAGCACCAATATCATATTTTCTTATTTAAATACAACACCAGTATCATATCATATTAGATAACGTGAAGGTACTGTACTGATCATACTATAAAGGATAATGATGGCATATCGAAAAAAACAATTAACATAGCCCACCAATCATTGATAACAGTGCAAAAATTTAAGAAACTTAAAAAAAAAGGCATTCAAAGTACAAATAATTAAAGATAAATATGGGGACAAGAAATTGTCATTCAGCTATGGTAATCCATTATACACCTCAATCTGATTAATATATGTATACATTAAAACAACACCTACAGAAAGACATTCTATTCCTCTTGAAAAAAGTTCCACAGATTGCAATGAAAATCATGACAAAACTAAATTGGCTCACTTATTAAGATAGATTGAGGACTACAGGAACAATCATTAAAAGGAATAAATGTTACTACAACCTAACTTTAGTACGCTATAAATATCTCTGGGAGGCTACACAATAAAGATTTAGATTTAACCAAATATAAACTTTAACACAACAATTCTCACAAACTTTACCATTACATACTAAATTAAAAAAATAATCTAAAAATTTAAGGACAAATCATTCACAAATGTTTAAAAGCTGTCCAAATATTTCATGTAAAGTGGAATCAGTATTATTAACTTTACTTACAGCAAAAAATTCCCTACAGTGTTGTATAAGAAGTAATGGAGATTGATCCAGTATCTCACAAGTAAGATCACCACTATTCTGGCTAAGTTTTGAATGTAAAAATCCTCTGAACTTTAATTTCTGACACAGGACTTTAAAGGTCTCATTCTTGCACAAATCACATTGTAGTTTCAAATTATATAAGGAATACTGAGGGACTGATCTGACAATCTCACACACATCTAAAAGAAAATTGAAGCCACTCACCTCTCTTCACTGAAAACATTCTGTAGTGTGTTAACTGAGAGCCTCATACTTAGTAGCTGGAGATCTTTATGACCATCATGTAGCAGGAACACCTGACTGAAAATAAAAATTATAAAATAATATTAAGTAATAATTGGTTCAGTAAGTCTACATCAGTCCAGTGTACTTAATTATGAAATGGAAAACTCTAAAATGAATACATTAAACATGTAAAGTGAAACTGGTATTTCTAAACACTACACTATCTACATCATTAGGAAGAATTAAAACCCAATGTAGGAAAGTTAAACTTTGCGATTCTGACACATTATATGTATTAGACAATGTCCAATAAAAATTCACTTTGTTAACCTTCTCTAATTTACTTCATTACTCCATTTGATTAAATGTGAAAATTCTTCTATAATAAACCTATTACACTAAACTAACTATGGAAATAAATTTTTGAATGTTATTAATTTTACAAGAAATTCCTATCCCACTTCTAAAAGTAATATAATCTATAACCAAAATTATTGACTGAAGGAAAGATAAATCTAAGAAAATGACTTAAGAACATGACATACAAGATCCTAAAATAAAATAACCATGGGGTTTTCAGTGTTTCCCCTGAATAAAAATTGAAATTAATTACAGCCTTCTGAAATAACACAAGGAAGTAAAACATCTAACCTGGTCATTGGAGACAGTAAGAATTTCTTGATGTTGCCTGTTATGTTTAATAATGTAACCAATGCCCTCAGTTTTCTGGTCAGTATTGAAAGCCCTTAATCTTGACTTCATTTTGATGCCACTGACTCTCTTTCAGCCCAGAGAATCACTTCACCAATCCAGTCTACTGCCAACCCAACACCTTCATCATTAAGCCGCAAAAGCTAAAAATGAAATAAAATACACTGATTATCAGAAATGAATTTAATTTGATCTGCAACTATTAGGAATGCTTAATAAAGCACTTAATATATACTGTCAAGTTATTACAGTCTTACCTCATAATGCATTCTAATCAATACTATATACATAATACGTACATATATCTGAAAGCCTTTCATCATATGACTAACATAAAAATTTGCAATGACTAAAAACAGAAATGGTAACTTTATACATCTAAGTAAAAAAAAATTAAGTTTTAATATTGTACCATATTCTACATACCCTCTCAGTAGAGTTTGTCTTCATGTCAGTTAAATATATATCTGAATTCATATCCATCCATGCAAAGGAGGAATTCTTTAGTAAAGGTGTTGCCCACTGTACTCTGGAATTCTCACTTAATACCTCCACCTCCTCTTGAAGGTCTGCATCAAGCTTAATAAGAGACTTGTCACTGACCACGAGGAGAGATGGAGTTGGCTTGTGCTGCTGGAGAGATTCTGTTACTCCAAAACTATAAGGCCCTTTTCCCATCTCATTGATTGCAGCAACCTAAAAGTATGATGTTCTATAAAGTTACACCCAAAAAATTTATAATGATAAACCTAGAATAATGTTAAAACTCAATTACTGTATCAAGCTGAATCTATTATATAACTCAAAAAATAATTCAAATCTAATCAATGATTTATATTCAGTATAATGCTGTAGATGAATGCCTAGTATTTAGTTGACTGATTTTTTTTTTTATAATTATTTTGCTTATGGGAGATTCTAAAGAAAAATTGAAAAAGGTTAGTGGATGAGTTTGAGAATGTGTGTAAAGGTAGAAAGTTGAAAGTGAACATAGAAAAGAGTAAGGTGATGAGGGTATCAAATGATTTAGATAAGGGAAAAATTGGATATCAAATTGGGAGGAGGAGTATGGAAGAAGTGAATGTTTTCAGATACTTGGGAGTTGACGTGTCGGCGGATGGGTTTATGAAGGATGAGGTTAATCATAGAATTGATGAGGGAAAAAAAGGTGAGTGGTGCGTTGAGGTATATGTGGAGTCAAAAAACGTTATCTATGGAGGAAAGAAGGGAATGTATGAAAGTATAGTAGTACCAACACTCTTATATGGATGTGAAGCTTGGGTGATAAATGCAGCAGCAAAGGAGACGGTTGGAGGCAGTGGAGATGTCCTGTCTAAGGGCAATGTGTGGTGTAAATATTAGCAGAAAATTCGGAGTGTAGAAATTAGGAGAAGGTGTGGAGTTAAAAAAGCATTAGTCAGAGGGCGAAGAGGGGTTGTTGAGGTGGTTTGGTCATTTAGAGAGAATGGATCAAAGTAGAATGACATGCAAAGCATATAAATCTATAGGGGAAGGAAGGAGGGGTAGGGGTCGTCCTCGAAAGGGTTGGAAAGGGGGGGTAAAGGAGGTTTTGTGGGCAAGGGGCTTGGACTTCCAGCAAGCGTGCATGAGCGTGTTAGATAGGAGTGAATGGAGACGAATGATACTTGGGACCTGACGATCTGTTGGAGTGTGAGCAGGGTAATATTTAGTGAAGGGATTCAGGAAACCGGTTTTTTCATATAGTCGGACTTGAGTCCTGGAAATGGGAAGTACAATGCCTGCACTTTAAAGGAGGGGTTTGGGATATTGGCAGTTTGGAGGGATATATTGTGTATCTTTATATGTATATGCTTCTAAACTGTTGTATTCTGAACACCTCTGCAAAAGCAGTGATAATGTGTGAGTGTGGTGAAAGTGTTGAATGATGATGAAAGTATTTTCTTTTCAGGGATTTTCTTTCTTTTTTGGGTCACCCTGCCTCGGTGGGAGACGACCTACTTGTTGAAAAAACAAAAAATTATTTAGAAGTTAATGCAGCAATTTTCTGTGCTTGCAGCAGAAGTATGTATTCATTTACTGCTTCACTGTGGACAGCAACTTCATAAATATATATTATTATCTGAGTTCTTAAGGAACCAGTACAGATAATATAAACTCATTCATTCTCCTCTTACCTTGAACCTATATAAATGGTCAGAACTCAGATTTTCAATTGTTAACTGGAACACCTTGCCATTCACAATTTCACTTTTGCATTTCTCTTCAACTTCTGCAGTGCAGTAAAGTATCTTGTAATTAATTATTTCGCCATTTGGTTTTTCTGGAGGAGACCAACGTAGGTAGATCTTCGCAACTGAATCCTGTCAAGCAGCATGAGACAACTTTATTATCCATGAAAAGTTCTACTTTTCAATCATCATACTGCTTCTAGTTATTAATATACAACTGACAATGCATGATCTTCATGTATACTGTATAATATATTTTACTCTCATTAACCCGTAAACGGTCCAAACGTATATATACGTTTTTTCAACAATTAATAGTATGTAAAAAAGTAATTTTTTTTTTTTTTACATTTGAAAATGTGTAAGAAAACTTTGATCTATGTTTTTTTTATATTTGAAAAGATGTAAAAAAAAAGCGTAGATCTACTTTTGGAGCACTACGCATGTGAACGTAGATCTGCTTGGACCATTTACGGGTTAATGAAGTACAGTACATACCTGAACTTTATGTACAAATGTCCGCAGGTCTTGAGGCGCTTCGGGTAAGTGTGCTGGTGTATGAAGGTTTTTCAAAAGCTGGGTACCTGCACTCCAGTCTGTAATGCCTCTTACTGATACCTTGAGAGAAGAATACGGGGGCAGTACATCTTCGTAGGGAATGTTTAGTTTCATTCGTGAGAAATGCTTTTTTGTTTTTTGCCATTGTCAATGATGACTTCATACATAAGGCAAACCAAAAATAACATTAGTGATGGGATTCCATTCGAGAGAAAAAATTGTCCAGGTTCCTTTCACTAGAAGTGAATTTGCATCAATCAGACCTGGAGTTACAACTGGTCTTTCAACACCATCTGAAAACAGTTGAAATACAACATCATCATCAATGAAGCTCAAGTAGAATGAAATCTATCAAAAACTGTACAACACAAGTAGTAGTAGTACATATGATATAAGAATATATACAGTACCACAATGTAATTAAAAACTGCTATAAAGTACATAAAAAAGCCCGAAATCTCAATTATTGTTCATATTGTAAACCTAACTCTTTTATAAATTACGAATCACAGAAAAATAACTGTCAGGCAATGTCATTTTAAAAATCCCTTGAAGGTTCAGGCCTTGAAAAGATTACCTGGAACAGGCTGTAGGTCTGGAAGTACCACAATGAAATGGGAAACTCCTAAATTCGAAGTGTGAATAGCGGCAGAGTTGTTGAGGTTGGTATCCGAGACAACTACATCTCCGTCTTTCTCCGAGCCACAGCAGACGCTCACTCAGATACCACATTGGACCTGTGAAAACACACAAATGAGTTACAGGTACAGTATTAAGAAATAACCATAACTATTCTTAGATGTAATTTAACTTTTGCAACTACAGTACGTATATAATTTCAGAGAAAGAAAAGAGTAAAGTGATTACCCTAAGGAAAGAAAGACAGTTGATTTACAAGGTTAAAGCTAGTCTTCTTTCCTGAGATGAAGTTTTTAGATGCACAGACTTTTTGAAGTTTGTTCCTTAACTTTATATCAGTTTCTCAAAAGCTACTCATATTGTGCTGATGAATGCTCAACAACTTACTACTTCCAAATTACGATGTCTGTTTTTCATTGTTTAAAATAGTTCTAGATTGTAATACAGTACATCATAATGTAAATTGTTCCATTGTAATACCAAATTTCATTGTTTTAAATAGTACTAAACTGTAATATATCATATTGTAAATTGTTTTAAATTGTTACACTGTAATACTATAATCTTTATTTAAATAATTCAATAGTGCAATAAGTCTCTACTAGACTTATCAAAACAATGAAGCATTACCTGACTGAATATTCAGTTCTCCTGAACTCACTGTAACTCATCTAATGACCATATGAACTGTATATTATTGCCTTCCTAATCATAAGTTAATCTTTAAGCTTGTCCAAAATGCTCTACATACAAAGGGGCTTTTGGTATGTACAACCAACTATTATATTCCTCTGTACAACCATGTAAATTGTCAAAATAAACATCTTTAAACTTAATCTCTTAATAGAAAGAATGCTGGTATCGAAGACCATTAGATATATAATTACAATACTATACCACTGCAACACAGATTTAGTAATCTCAAGTTCATTGATTTCACTGTATGAAAATCATTTTCAATGTCACCTTATTTGCAAAGACCCTTGAATTTTTAAAAATTAATATCTCTACACATTTTTTTTCTAACACTGTATATTTTTCAAGACTTGTTCAAAGAACTTTTATTCATTTTATGTATTTTACTAATTAGTAGACATGAACTGTGATACTTTTACTTATCTGATACTCAAACTAAAAAAAAAAAAAAAAAAGATTTTTTTTAACACACTGGCTGCTCCCACCGAGCCAGGGTGGGAGAGGATGCCAGAGGCATGCAGATACAACAGTTTAGATGCCACTCTAAACAGAAAATATCTCAAAAACCCTCCTTTAGAGAGCAGTCACTGTACTTTCCACCTCCAGGACTCAAAATAACATTCAAATAAAATAGGTTATACTAGCAAAGGATTTCTCTTATTATCTGTCATACAAGACATGTTACGCGTGAGGTTGTGAAAATGCAAAATCAAGTGGTATAGTAGTACCTCGAGTTTCGAACAACTCCCAACTCGAACAATTATGTAAGTGTATTTTTATAAGTGCTTCTCTAAGTGTATTTTTGGGGGTCTGAAACAGACTAATCTAATTTACATTATTCCATATGGGAACAAATTTGTTCGGTAACGCACTCAAATAGCCTTCTGGAATGAATTAAGTTCATAACTCAAGGTACCACTGTACAGTGGATCCCCGACATTCAATGGCATTGACACTCGACAAATCCGACATTCGATGCATTTTAACGCAAAAATTTCGCCTCGACACTCAATGGAAAACCCAACATTCGATACAATTCGTACGAGCAGTCTCGGCTGAGTGGTTGAGGGGAGTAGACGTGTGCTGGGGATCTGGACCTACTAATTCACAGGCCTACCCATTTCTCCCGACTGATAAGTCATCATTAAAACTCCTACTGTTGGAAGACAGCTTCAGTGTTGTGAGAACTCTTATGTGCGAGCTGTGACTAAGGATATACCTGGTCAAACACTGGAAATAGTTTTCCTTTTTGCAAAGGCCCTCACAGGCCTCTGCTTCCCCTCTGCCTTTCATTTGACCTCAGCCTTTTGCCTCTATCAACATGGAGTGTAGAGGCGAATTTTGCTAGTCCACTGCTACTCGTGCCTCTCAAATGCTCACAACTCATCGCTTTACCAACTTGAGGAATAAACGACGAGTGTGCAGTCCTACGTGAGTTGGTAACCCAGGTGTCCACACACACTGAAAAATTCGTCTTTCACTCCAAGACACGTGTGCTAGAAGTTCTGCAAGTTTGGAGTAACAATCTCTACGAGTATTGCAGTGTGTGTAACTCTTGAGAAGTCTGCCTCAGCCTGTGACCTTGAGCGAGGCACTGCATCACCTGCCTGAGACTTTCGCCCATATTGACTATGTGAAGAGAGGCGAATGTGCGTGCTCAGTTTGCCCCTGCTGTTCTCCTGTGTCCCCAGCTCTCCTCCTTTAAACTCAGGGCCCTTCGCCTCTATCAACGACGTGCAGTGTAGAGGTGTATTTTGCTGCCCCGCTGGTACTCGAATATGTGAGTTCCGCAAGTGCTGCAGATTTGTTGTAACTATTTGCATGAGTGGATTACGCTGACTTAGGACATTGTGCTACCATCAGTACCTACGTAGGCTTAAAATGAAATGAGGAATGTCTGGCCTGCTGGGTGACCTTGAAAATGGCACTATAAGACCCGCATGCCACTTACACCCATACTGCGTGTGTCTAGTGAGGTGAATGTCCCTTCCTCGACTTTCCTATTCACCGGTATCCCTTAACTCGTCGCCATTATCTACATATGGATAAGGGTGAGTTTAGCTGATCCAGGCCAAACAGCGCTCCAAGCCAGCCAGTGAAGGCCAAGGCTACATCTGTTTTTGAATCCCAGAATGCCTTTGTGAACGTTCTAACAGTGTTCCGGCCGTACCATTAACAAGTAGTACAGGGTTGGTAACTCTCGAGACGACTGTGGGCCCAGTGAATGACCTTGAAAATTGCACTGCGACCTGCAGGCCACTACACCCATATTGCCTGTGTCTAGCGAGGTTAATATCCTTTCCTTGTCCCTTCTCTCCTCCTCGATTTGGAACTCAGCCGTTCGCCTCTATTTGCTTGTGGTCTAGAGGCGGTTTTAGCCAGACCACATGGGTGCTTGAGTGCCCGTGTCCTCTGTGCCGCACTCCGCTCATCTTGCGAGTGTCCCCTGTGTGCCTGCCTGCCTGCTGCAAGCAGGTGTCCGGGTGGTTGGCACGGGCTTGGCGAGCACAGTCAAGCAAGCTTGAGGGTGGCACTAGAAGCTAGCCAGAACGGGCTAAGGCAGCCTGCAGTTATCTGTCCTAGGGCCCAGCATGTCTGTATACGTTCTGCAGTGCTGCTGGCATACCAGTGTTTCCTGTAGTGGCTTGAGAACAATTTGACGAGCATTGCAGTGCTGACATTTTGAGTGGGACATGCCAGAGGTTCACTTATAAACATATTAAGCTTGTGGTGAGTGGCTTGTACACAGTGAACATTCATCTGTCATACGTGTGCTAGAAGTGTTAAGTGCTGCTTTCCCCAACAGTTAATTGTCATTTGTGAGCCTGTATTAAGACTTTAAAAGGCTCAGAGTGTACTTCAGTGTAGTGACTCCTTGCATTTGATAAATCAGTGTAATACATGCTCTGCTCAGTGTAACTGAACTATTAAATACGGTTACATAATTAAGTTGCTTGTCCTAGTGTCATTGTTGTGTTTTCTAATACATTTTCTCGTTCAGACTGAAACTTTACTGCTAAATTCCCAGTAATATTTCAAATTGCAGTGTTCGTCTGTGGTGTGAGTGTGTAACTTATGCTTTGTATTTTTACTGTGAACAAGCTTGCTGCTGCATAATGTTCAGCTTCATGAATACTTTCTCTCTTGAGTAATTCGGTTACCTTTCAACTGTGTTAAGCAAGAGTCAGCCTGTTAACATCTATGTTCCTTGCCATCTCATCTAGTGGGTCTGACGCCTAGTTGAAATTGTAATAGTAACAATTTGCAATCATTATACTTCTAGTTATACATTGTGTAAATTGTTTTAGACTATTTGATCAACTGGATTGTAGTGTTTAACTTCTGATACACCAGTTTAATGACTGCAGACACGCACTGACACATAATAAACACATTAAAACGCTGGTAACTCCAGAAGCTGGGCCTAGTGTGTGACCTTGAGAAGTTCAGTGTGTTTATTACGACCAGCGGTGTACCACTCTCACCTATATTTACATCAACAAAAGTGTATTCTAAGTGATAAAGTATACACTTGGTGTACTTGGTAACACTTGTCATACATAGTAACGCGTGTGTAAGTGAGATTGTTTAGGTACTGGTTCATCTATCTACAGCTGCACACTTATGCTTGCATACATGTATAACATAGTAACGTGTGAGTTACCCAGGATGGACCAAGGAAGTCGACCAGAGTAATTTATCTCATTGTCATTGTAACATTACCTAGTTTTTTTTTTTTTTTTTTTTTTTTTTTTTTAAATAATAGTGTTTACAATCTATGGTTGGGGTAAGAGGTTGTCTTCACCATTCATTGTGATGTCTGCTATATTATTATTTCAGTGAGGTACATTAGGTGGCAGTAGCCTGAACTAACTCAAGTGGAAGTTATCATTGAATTTGAACCTCATCTTTAATGTGATGTATGTCAGAATTCTAATTTTATGCTCAATATTACCTACTTTGTCTCTCCTCTCTCTCTCTCTCTCTCTCTCTCTCTTTTCATCTTTGTAATTTGTGATAAGGTGTAAGACCTCGCCTGTACCATCCATTAGATTTTAGATTTAGATTTTGCCACCGAAGTGGTAGTTTATTGTGCACCCCATATCCATCCTGTGGACGGTAGCGCGAGAGCATGTGGATACACAAAAGGCCTAGGAACTAGGCCCCAAAGGGTTAACAGGAATACATATGATTTATATCTATCAATATCTATAGTTCACTTAATCTGTTACAAGCAAATTTTAGGAAATTTGCTTTAGTATATCTTGGTATCATTATTTTCATTAATAAATATCTTGACATTCACATAGGTTATTATACTGTCTGTCCTCTGTATTCCTCATAAGTGGACAATTTAAGCACATTGTGTTCAAGACAGTGACCATATGCCTGTTCACACAAT